TAAATTTTAATATGGTGTTATTACAATATAATGAATGATGTTTATTCCTGACAATGGTTTTCTGAATGTTGTAGGTATGTCAGGGCACTTGGAGCTTTCTACATGAGACTGACAGGAACAACATTAGATTGTTTCAAATACCTGGAACCACTCTACTATGATTACAGAAAGCTGAAGATGCAAAACAGAGATGGAGGTATCATACTGAAATACCTTGGTTATCCCTGACAGTGTTGCCAGAGAAATATGTCAAATTAATAACCAGTACAGTGTTCAGCTACAATTTTCATAGAGCACATTGACTGCCCTTTTCCCCAGGGGCTTCCTATTCACATTTACTATTTCATTGATCACATGTGTTATACAACTGGTATAATTTGTTTGATGACACATTTTGTTTACAAAACTCGAAACATACCCAAAACTAACTGGGAACACACATGCACACTGAAAACTGATATTTATGATACTTAGATATGCTTTAAACACAAATTGTAGAGCAATCACTGGCAAAAACAGAGATTCCTTTCACCCATAAATATATCTTTAAAATCTGAGATTTTAGAAACTTTTGTCAAATTTTTTTAAAATTTACAAGGGAACTTTTTCTTAACTTTTTATCAATGTCTAATAATTACTTTACAAGTAAGATAAGAAATATTCAAATAAATGCCATGAAAAAAAAATTCTATGAGCAAACAATTTTCTTATCAAACTGATATTGTTTGGTAAGATGAATTAGACAGATTTTCAACCAATTCTGCAATTCCAACTTGGTATGGGAGAAGGAAGTTTAAATTTCATTACAGTTGACTACAAGGGAACTTAGTCAATCATATTATATCAGTCTTTCAGAGGATAGACAGGTTTTTATGCCCCGGCCTGTAAAAGTAGATTTGGGGGCATCTAGTTTTCGGTCTTTCCCTCAATTTGTCTGCAAATGCCAGACTATGCATCATATAACTGAAGACTTGAAAATGTCCTTCTTATGTAAGATTTCAGAGGAAATACATGTATATCACTTAGGGAATCAGATTGTAGATTAGAGAATTTCTTCAATTGATAAGGAAACCTGCAGTTGAAATAATATTTTGTCATTTCAGGATTTTATTTGATCCACATGGATGAGTTTATTGACACTTTATTGAGAGAGGAGCGTGTTTGTGACATCATCCTTCCCAGAATCCAAGTAAGAAACCAAGTATTTAATGGAGTTATGCTTGTTTGCTACTCCATAATAAGTTTTTATTAAGTGATAGAATATTTCTACAATTTTAATATTTGAGAATTTTTTGTTCACTTCCTAATGAAACAATTTTACATGTCCTCAAATTCAAAAGTTGTGTTAACCCCTTGTATAAGAAAACAGGAATAGATTAATATGCATGGTAAGGTCAGAGATGCGGTTTATTAATAATTATGTTCCCTGCTTATATTTCTTCAAAGGCGGGTTAATACAATTGTTTTAACCAGAAAAAAAATACATGCATGATCCTTATGATGCATTAAGATATGATTAAGGTAATACCATATTCAGCTGTTGTTAAACTAAGGTCAAGCTTATGTTATGCCCCACTGTAGGGATCCCAGTTATCTGACCTACATTTTCAGGATGAATGACCAGGTTAAAGTTTTTGGGGCAGGTCCATTTCCATGTAACTTTAAGTCTTACTTGAACCAAACTTGTATGGATATTGATCCATACCAACTATTGACTAGAAAAGAATTTGGTGTGAGATTTTTCTTACTTATAGATATTTTCAAGGTCAACTAGGTAATATGTGTCGATTTTATACCAGATATAACAATTCCATGTTTTTAACTCTATAGAAAACATTAAATAACTTCATGCATAGTTCAGCTAAGAAAATGTATACTGATCTGTATGCATCACTCAAAATAGATATAGCACTAGTTAAAGCCTACTGAAACATGTATAACAGGTTTTGTTCATACCATTGATTGCTGAGCTCTCTTTGTTACAGAAGCGCCATGTTTTGGAGGAGAATAATGAGCTGGAGAGTCGAGTCAGTGCCCTCGATGAAGACCTCGAGGACATGGACACAGACGAGGAGGAGGCCATGGTACAATAATCTTACTGTCTCTTAAATAATACCAATTATATAAGATACTCATATGTGTTTTTACAGATACAAGTTACTGTTCAACATTAAATCTTACCCACTGTAACTGAGTTACTAATCAGAATGCTCTGCAGTATGTTTCGAACTACACAAAAATAGTACCAAAAGTTTTCTAAAATTGAATGATTTTATCTCAGATCTACAAAACCAGCAAAAGATTTCATATCTGTCAAAATGAATTAGTAAGTTATAAATGGATTCCTTGGTGAAGACTTAGTAGATGAGGTAGTGTTTTTTTATGTCCCAGGAAAGAAGCCCCTCACCCGTTGACAGAAGACATGGAGATAGAGGGTCACCTCCCAGGCACCGCCGCTCACCTTCACCCAGAAACAGGTACCAGGGTATTTTCTTATGGAGCTATTTATAGGAAATGTTTTATTGGCACAAGTTGCTTGTTGTTCATTATCTTAACTTAAAAATTTTCATCATCCATTTATAGGGATAGGGACAGGAGGAAGAGGTCAAGGTCAAGAGACCGGGAAAAGAGGAAGAGGTCAAGGTCACCAGCAGGTAAGGTTTTCTTCTATTCTTATTTTTTGACAGATGTACATAACCATTACCTTGCAAGATGTTATGACTCATTACTGATACTTTTTTCTTGAATTTCATGTGAGCATTAATAATGCTACATTTTTAAGATTTGCCATTCCCACCCATTATTGATACATACACTGTCTTTCTTTGAGTTACATCATAAATTGCTGCATTGCAGGTTCAGCCATAGATAGTTTTTAGCCAAAATGTATCCAAGTACTAGTAACATTTACTATTTTGTTGGGGTAACAAGTTTGTTATTTTGTAAGGATAATGAGTTTGTAGCGGAAATGACAATATAAAAATATAGTGGTAATGTAATGCATACCCATCATAAGCATTTTACATGCTAAAATTTAGTACTTGTGTAAATATTAAAGATAAAATTTTAGTATTTTATTTATTTTGTTTTTCAGATAAAAGACACAGAGATGAAGAGTAAGTTGTTTTGTTCAAATTGAAAATGCTGGTCTGCAAAGGCACAAATTTTTCCCCCTTTATAATATTTTCTTATGCAGTGCCAATTTGATACACTGTGCACTGAGTAACAAATTCTTAGGGAGTAATCATCTTTAGAATCTAAACTTTATTAGTAAAGTCAAGAATAATTAAAAATTAATTCACACCCCTGCAAAGTCTGTTTTGAAGTTGAACTGTGCCAAGGTGATGTTATCATTCACTTAAAGATGGACCTCATTTATTAATACATCAGTTACCAAATTCTTTATAATAAGCAAGTGCTGTAATGGTTGAACTGGGGATATTGGCCTGGATAAATCAGTGGTTAATGTACCTTACCAGTGATGTAGGGTCAAGGGTTTGATTCCAGATCCAGCAATACATTTTCTCTCCCATCATAATACTTAAAAGAAATATCAACAAACTTTTAGCTCACCTGAGCCGAAGGCTCAAGTGAGCTTTTCTGATCAAAATTTGTCTGTCGTTGTCATAAACTTTTCACATTTTCATCTTCTTCTCAAGATCCGCTGGGCCAATTTCAACCAAACTTGCCACAAAGTATCCTTGGGTGAAGGGGATTCAAGTTTGTTTAAATGAAGGGCCTTGCCCTTTTCCAAGGGGAGATAATTATGTATTAGAGAAAAATTAATGGCATGTTTTAAAAATCTTCTTCTCAAGAACCACTTGGCCAGGAAAGATGAAACTCATATGGATTCATCCTCAGGTAGTGTAGATTCAAGTTTGTTCAAATCATGACCCCCCGGGGGTAGGGTGGGGCCAGAATGGCCAATCAAAGTTTTACATAGGAATATATAGGAAAATCTTTAAAAATCTTCTTTTCCTGAACCACTGGGCCAGGAAAGATGAAACTCATGTGGAATCATCCTCAGGTAGTGTAGATTCAAATTTGTTCAAATCATGACCCCCGGGGGTAGGGTGTGGCCAAAATGGCTGATCAAAATTTAACATAGGAATATATAGGGCAACCTTTTAAAATCTTCTTTTCAAGTATTTCAAAGCCATGATTAGTAATATTTATATGGAATCATCCTCAGGTAATGTAGATTCTAGTTCGTTTAAATTATGATCCCATGGGGGGTTAAAATTCAAGCCCCCATCCCACCTCAGTAAACTTTCAGTTCTGATCAGATATGTGCTTTTTCCTAGCCGATGTGCTCAGGTGAGCGCTGTGGCCCCTGGGCCTCTTGTTAGTTACATGATTGTGAACCACAGGTATTTTACATTAATATTTGTCTTATATTTTAGGCAGCTTAAAAAAAATCAGATTGAGCTATGATGTATCACAGATCATATCCTTACCCCAGTTCAACAATTTCTGTAATTAGGGCCCATGCTGACTAGTCTGGTTTTATTTAACTTTTACTACCAAGAATGAAACTTAAAGATGCTACATGTATATGAAAATAAGAAATATCTTTCATTATATATTTTTAGTCGGAAGAAAAGCAAGAAGCATCGTCATGAGCACAAGAGCCGAGACAAAGATCGGGACCGAGAGAAACGTCACCATCGCAGTAGTCGTCATCACAAGGATGACAAGGATAGGGACAGAGACAAAGATAAGGGCGGGTCCCGGTCTGAATCAAAGGCGGAGCTTAGTATAGCAGAGACCAATGAACTCAGAGCATCCCTGGGACTACCACCCCTGAAATAACATGGAGTTTGTTGCTTTATGCCATGTTGTGTGAATTCAGAGAACTATGTTATAGGAAACAAAACTTTGTTTAATAGAAAGCAGATCACCTTTTCATTGTCATGGAACAATTTAATTTTAAATAACATGTCTGAAATATTGATCTTCATAGGTTTTAACTGAAATAAAACAAGCATCAAAATAATGGGAAACAATGTTTATCTTGTTGAATCATAAATTTCAGTAACAAAAATGAAATGATTGCAAGAACTAGCGTTGTTGGATGCATTCGAAATATCAACAACCATATAATAACAACTTCTCACATGAATACTGAACCTTTTGGCTTATTATCTTGATACAGGTGCTCTACATTGATATGATAACACTTATATGCAATTGAAATTACACAAAGGTGAATGCCGGTAATTACGATAAATATTATGGTAGCAAGACCAAGAATGCTACTACAACTACGCCAATATGTTATTTTCACAAAATTTTAATTTTGTGTCCAAAGTTTGTTGTTGTTTTTTTAACAGAACAAACTCCTCCTTGTTCTGATGTAAGAAAGACCAAAGATGAAGGGAACTCCAATGGTTCACTTTCTTTTTCTTGTCACAAATTTGTTCTGTAGATTGGCACAAAATGCATGTGCTGATTGGGGGGGGGCTTTCCACTCAAAGTAATTTTGTCAGTTGCACTGAGGAAAGCTGATTTGTCAGTTACACTGAGACAGAGGGGAGGATCTAACAAGAAGCCGTGGTGTGTTAGGACACAGGACTGGGGGGAGGTTGATGCAGTTTTTTAAGTTCCTGTTTGAGGTTTTGTGCCATTCTCTCTAGTCTCTTATTACCATGCTTCTTCACCCAACCATCCACTTCCTGAAATGGTATAGAGAGAATTCATTACTTTGTTACATGTATATATACTAATGTTTATAAACATGATACATTTATTCTTTGGTCTAAAAAGGCATTTTGGACTTAATCTTTATAATGTTTACCTCAAGAATCCTATGTTTTTTCCAGAAGAAATGATTTTTTATGACATCTGCAAATTCTGGGGGTGGATACTGAAGTTGGCTGATCATTGCATACTTGATATTATTGTAACACACATCTGCAGATAAAAACGTTTCATTTCAAAATGTAATTTTTAAACAACTTGGAATCCTGCAGTTTCCTATAATGGTAAACTAAATATTTTCTTTGACCTACCTTCGTTATAATCATCACTGTGCTTCCTCCCAGCATCA